AAAACAAAAAAGGAAACTTTCATTGTATCCCACTCGTGAGCCAGATATTTTGCCATTGCCCCCAACGTTTGACTGAGCAAGTTTCCTCCCCACCCCACAGAGATTAAATGTAAGGGACAGAGAGGAAGAGTGAAGAAATTTCAGCTTGCTTCTATTCTGCAAGCAGGATTCCTCAGCAGAATTGGACCCCTTCCACGGTGCTTTCTTTTCTATCCTGGGTCCTGCAAGAGGTTTCAAAGTGTCATCTATTTCCACCAGCTTCTTCCAGAACTTGGACTAACCCGTCAGTGATTTTCCATGGCCCGATTCTGATTCTGATGGCCTGCAGTTACTCTAAAAGTAGCCCCATTGCATCTCCAAAACCTTTCCTTTCTCAAAGGGTGGGCCTCTTCAGTTGTTTTATTCCCATTGAAGGAAAGAAATATGCCATTACTGGATGTTATAATCAAGAGTTTGCAACTGACTTTTGTATAGGGATAGTTAATGGGGATTTCTTCCTATACCTCTGAAGTTTCTCCTGAGCATCTTCTATTGGGAGAGGCTAGTCTGGAAATCAAAGGATTTCAGGGGTGCTTCTGATGGATAGGGCAGGAGTCGACTAGACAAGTCAGATACTAAATCAGCAGAATGTGGAATAGCTTTTTGGCGCAAGCCTTGAATTTGCACAATTACTTCTTCTCTAACAGGCGAATCACTGACCACTTTCCAAGATGACCAACAGAGCCAAGTAGGGCAAGGATATTTGCATATATAGTGCCTGACTGCCAGTTGGAAGCCTATTTGAATGGAACATTACAGATTGCCCGATTGTTGCTACCAACAGATTTCATCATCAAATGATAACTGGAACAAGAGATTGCTTATGAACCAACTATTTGCTTAAGGTTAGGTCCCTGTTAAACTTAATTGCATTTGATTGCCCTTTTATTTTCCAGCAGATACCAATGGTGCTGCAGATCACAGCATAAGATAATGATTTCTTACAAGGTGTTGAGTTTTTGAAAAGATGTATTTATTTTCATAAACAATGAAGAGATGCATTTATTTTCATAAACAATACCACTATTTTTAAGCACTGGTTTTAAAAATCCCATTAAAGCTTGGGAGTTGATTAAGAGACAATTCTAAACAAGTAAATAAGACTGAGCTCAGTGACATGGAATGCCAACCAAATGGGCAGCCTAATTTAGTTGGAATTAATTCTATTACATCAATGAAACCAACCATCCAGCAAGCCTGTTTAGTATAAATAAACCTCATTCATTCTCCTGGATTCTACAATTAAAGATTTTCTTCCAGTACTATTTGCAAAAATTTAAAATTACTCCTTCTAAAGGATGCAATCCTATGTACATTTACTTGAGAGTAAGCCTTATGAAATTTAATGTTAATATCTGTAACATTGTATTCGAAGGACTGCAAGATGACTTGGTTATAAATGCATTGCAGAAGACATTCTCCAAACACTCCCCAAAATAAACTGACTCAGATATGAGAAGGGGCAGAATTAAAGGCCCACCAAGTTATATAGAAGTAAATCTGATTTAAATGCAAGCATTTTTATTTCATATCAGTTGGGGGAAAAACACACAAACATATGTTAACAATTAGCAAAAAATAAGATTCTATATACAGTTTAGTTTTCTAAATACACACTGCTTATTTATAGGCTCATACAATTTGTTCTGTGAGCAGTTATAGTTGTTACATCACTTGGCTAAGGTGTAAATACCTAGAGAAGGAAAAGAAGAATGTTAATGAGAAAATAAAATGAGCCTTCTGTAGTATTGTCTTCATTTGGCTTTGATTTTCGGCCCTGTCAAGGATCCCTGTAGATCCAAGCCAACAGCTGCTTCTGCCTCTGAACCACAAATCTGATATTTGTGGATAACATATTTTCTTCTGAAAGATGATGATACAGAGGGATTCTCCAGCACCCATTTCCGATAAAAGCCTTGGACAATTCTGATAGACCTTTGGACACTGATGAGATATCTCCATGGTCACAGCAAAGCTTATTTTTCTACTAGCATAACTCCATCTCACCTGCAAGATCTTAAGCTTAAATCTGTCCATAGTTATTTGCATTCCCAGTTTGAGAGTTTGATGCATTGTGTGCTATCCAGCACATCTGACTTTCTGTTGGAACCCAGCCTCCGATGGGGCAAATATGACTTCTATAAAGTAGCAGGTAATAAATTCTGCCAGATTTCACATTCTCTTGCAGCAAAGTATTGACTTTGTTCAATTCCTTCCAAAGTTAATTTTACAAAGGTTTCTGCTTTCTGCCAAGACCAGATCCCATTGCAAAGGTTTGACTGCAGATATTGAGATAATGCACTTATTTCAGAAAGTTGCAGCAAGGTTTATTTCTTATTAGCAGTCATTTGCAATTATAGATATAAATACATTCTTGAATGACAATACTGATGTATAGTATAGAGATTGAAGTTCAAAGTACGGTATTTTTAATTGGAAGTGAAGTAACTTCGATGGGATTTCTTTTTAAGATAAACCTATGTATGATGAGTATATACTATAATTGTCTTTAAAAATTAAGAATTAAGTCTGGCAATATAATTTAGATTCAGGCAGCGTAGAGTGTTTTTAAAAAAGTTCTTAGCAAATTTACCTGAAATGTGTTGTTGTTATTTTCAATTGTAGAACAAATGAGAGTTACATTAAATTCATCTTTCATAGCAGGATTAATACTGCCAGGGTTTTAATGTATTAATAGAGGGTTAATATTAATCCAAATGTAATTTTAGGTTTTCCATGTATAGTTTCTTTGATAATTTCTCAAGGATGTATGTATAGCTTTTTCTTCAAAAAGAAACTATTATACTGTATGTGAAAATTTTATTGTACATATCATATGCTATTAATTATATATTCATTCTAAAGCTTCCAAAATTAAAAGGTCTGGTAACCTTTTCCTTGTGTACAAATTGTTAATTATATTTCTCAATTAATAATTCAGTGAACCATCTATCTGCAAAATATTCACAAGTTTTTACACTTAAGCACAATCCTCCTGGGAGCCAAGAACATGAAGACCACAAGTCTAAAGTTTTAATGCACGCATTGTAGGTTTCATAATAAATTTGGGGTTTTTTTATTTAATGCACTCTTCCAAGATTTAAGCACACAAAATGCAGTGAAAATGTCCACAACTTCGAGACCACAGTCGTAAACAGAAACATTCATCTTTCATAAATTATAAATATTTGATGTTGCGAATTGTAAAATGCACATTTCATAAAACTGAAAAAAAAAACCTTTGCTTTGCTCCATGGCAGTACCATTGTATACCATCTCCTAAGCATTTAATGGTTATTCACAGAATTTAAAATTACAGCATTTAAGTTTCTCTCCTCCCCCCCCAAAGTTGACAGGACTACAGTACGTACACATGTATCTTTTATAACTGTGTGTTTTTAAGGCAAAGTGAGTAGTTTACCACCAAGCAGGGTGTAGTCCTGATAGTTGAACAGGTGGAGGAAATTTGCGGGGCCTGGGGCAAAGATTTTGGATGCTCACCTTTGAAGCAGAAAAGCAAGGGGAAGAGAGGAAAATCTTGACTCAGCTCACACAGAAAGGAGGATATATAACCAGGAAAGGGAGAGAGTCCCTGACAATTAAAACGTCCAACTTGCAAACCCTTTAATTCTGCATGGATCTATGCTCAATTCATTATTATTTTTGAACGAAAGGCAGCACTGACAAACACACACCGGCCTCCTGTTTCTTTTAAAGAAAGCAGACCGAATTTCCTTCAGAAAGAATTTAATGTAGTGAACGCCTCTCGCCATACGGGCCTCCCCCACCTCATTTTTTCCCCCTTCTCCCATTTCCCTTTCTTAAACTAAGAGCCACTACGGTGAGCATCCCAGATTCCCTGACACCCATGGCTGCACATAATTGCCGAGAGGGAATCTAAACCAGCCCCTCCACGAAAGAAAAACCGCTTAACCCACCAGGCCGCCCTGCTCCTGGCCTCCGAAGCAGAGGACACCCCCGTAGGGCTGAGCTACACCATGGAAGGGAGGGAGACCACCGAAGCGCACGGGCACGGCTTCTGTTCGGCGGAAAGGCTGTTTTCTAAACTTTTCCGTTCCCACAGCTGGCCTACAGAAGAAACAACGGTCGCCTTAAGCCTCCTGGAAGTTTCCCACTATTTAACAACTTTTTCTAAGTCACTTTTTCCTCCCACCACTTTAACAGAGAAATATTGAGAAAAAAAATTCCTGGGGTCGGTTAGGTGTCTCAGGATTTCTTTTAACTTGAATCCCTCAAAGGGCAGTATGTGTTAGGCAGTATGCTTACCAGTATATTTTTATGATTGGAGTTATTCTCTCACACCCACTCCCCCACAGGCAGCATAAAAGGAGGGAAAGGGTGGTGGGGAGGAGAAAAAGAAACATTTAAACTCGCAGAACAAATAGGAGAGCTATTTATTCGGTTCACAGTCTCGTGAAATGCAGCAATAAAAATCTTTGGACTTCAGCAAAAAGTTGTCTTTTTATATATATAGATAGATAGATAGATTGAGCTTCAAAAAAGAGTGTCCAGTCCGTTTAAAACCGTCTATAAAAAGGAACTGAAGCTTTTAAAAAAATCGACCGTCGGCGTCTAAAATTTTTGTAGAAACAAAAAAGCAAAATAAAAAAAATAAAAAAAATATTTTATAATCAGATATTTGGATTTTTTTTACATCTTACCTGCAATTTTTTTTAATATATATATATATATAGGTGTGTGTGTGCATATATTTATAAATTACATATATATATATGTATGTATTTACACAGAGAGAATATTGCAGAATTCTATCTAATACAATATTTTCCATTATTTATGCTGGTATAATCTTTGTACACTGGCCCTTAGGTCTATCTCATTTTTTTCATCATCTTCATTAAATTATTGCATTGTCTAAAGCCCATCCGGCTGCGCCGCCGCCGGGCCCCCCTCCAGCCCTCCCCCTCCCCTTCCGCCGTCTACTCGCTGTCGGACTTGCCGTCTTTCGAGGCGGTGGAGTGGTTGTAGAGCCCTTGCGCCATGAGGTGCACGGCCAGGGAGTTCTTGCTGCCGGTGGCTTTCTTGATTTTGGCCCGCTTGTTCTGAAACCAGATTTTGATCTGGGACTCGTTGAGGCTGAGCTCCTGAGCCAGGCTCTGGCGCCGCTGCTCCGTCAGGTACCTGTTCGTCTGAAACTCCGCCTTGAGTCTCTGCAGTTGCTCCGCGGTGAAGGCCGTCCGAGGCCGCTTGTCCTCCTTGCTCGCGTTCTTCTTCTTTGGTTTCCGCGATCGGGGGCCTGCGAGCCGCGGGGAGAGGAGGAGGAGGAGGAGGAGGAGAGAAAGAGAGAGAAAGAGAGAGAGGAGGGGTGAGCGGGAAGGCGCCGCCAGTTCCTCTTGTCGGCCTTGCCAGCTCCGGGGACGCGAGCTTGGACGCCAGAGGAAATGGGGAGAAGGGAAGCCAAGACCCCCGCCCCTCCCGAGGACGGCCTTCGGGAGGCCACCGGCCAAAGGGACTCCCAGGAAGCCGAGGGTCCCGTTGGCGGGGGAGGAGCGAGGCTGGAACCCACCCGGCCCGTGCTCCGCAGCCAGCCACTGCGTTTTAGCTCCCTTCCGCCGACGATCCCTCTCCAGCCTGCTTTCCTTCTTTGTTACCTCTCGGCAGAATTAGGACCTGGGGATTCCCTGCAAGAGCCCTGCCCGAGGAAGCCCAACTCCTGCAGGCGCTGCCCCTCCATTCCCGGGCCGCGGCGGCGGCGGCGGCTGGCGAGAACCCGGCCGCAGTGGCGCTCTCCTTCCCTCCGTTCTGCCCAGGCCAGCCAGAGACAGGCAGCCCCCTTTACCGGGAATTAGGTGGCCGGCTGACCTGTCAGAAGATCGCTCGGAGCGGGACTTTGGGGGGGGGGGAGATGGGAAATGTTTCCCGGGAGAAAGCGGAGACCGGGCCGCTTCGCTAGGCCTTTGGAAATGTGTGGGAGGAGAATCCCCGGTTATTTTTCCTCCCTGCCTCCCCCCTGCTCTGGAACCCATCAGCAAAGGTTTCAAGGCCTGCGGCCTCTGTTCAAACGAACCAGCCAACAAACGTTCCTCGCTTCCCAGGGTCAGGAGAAAGACTTCGCGGTCTCCCAGACTCGCAAAGACGGAGCGGGCCCTTCCAACTCCGGGGGTGAGATTTCCTGGCTTTCCCGCAGGCCTACCCTTCGCACAGCGCTCAGCTGGGAGAGCAGAAAAGAGCCAAGGATTTGTGGCTTCGGGTGTTTTAAGGCCCGCCGGCCTTCTCGCGCTTTCCTTTTTGCATTTTCCAAGAGGAAGAAGGACGGGACAGGCCAAGCGGCAACCGGCTCGGCGTCTTGGGAAGCCTGGCTGGGTCGGGATCGGGGCCCGAGGAAATGAGACCTTAACAAAGCGGGAAGGTGGAGAACAATGGAGTTCAGGCTCGGGTGCCAAATATCCCCCCCCCCCGCATGGAAGCTCTCGCCACAAAATCTTCGCTTCCCGTTTTTGTTTGGAAGTCAATAATAAAATGCAATCGGGAAAGGAATAAAAATTCCGTTTGTTGCATTCAGAAGAAGGCAAACAAACAAACAGCCAGCGGAGCCCTGGCTGACCGCGGAGGTGGGGGACGCATCCCATTCGCGGCGTCTCCTCCCCCTAAGCGGGTCGAGGGCGCCCTCGCAAAACTCTCGCGGCCTGCGCCCTTCCTGGCGCCTGGAATGGCTTTCAGAGCCCTTGCGAAGACCCCCGAAGGAAAAGGGCGCAAAGGCTCGGAGGGGGCGAGCCTCCGGGCCCGCTAGCCGGCCGCAGCCCAGCGCTAGACTCCAAGGAGCGCTCCCCAGCTGGAGCGGAGCTGGAAAAGAAGGCGACGGAGGAGGAAGCGCTTTGCTACGGTCCTGCCATTTTCTGCCCGGTTTTCTTTTTCCACAGGCCGCCTTCCACGCAGCTCCACCGGCGGAAAGACCCCCGTGTTGAGGGAGGCCTGTGGCAAAAGCTTTTCAAGGCTGCTTTGAGGTTGGCGAGCGGAGCTTTGGGCGGAGGCCTCCCTCCGTTGGGGAAGGGGGTCTCCCACCGCCGCCAGTCCCTCCCAAGCAGCCCCCCCCCAAGGAATACCACCTTCTCCGCCATCCTCCTTTCTTCTCCTGCGCCTCGGCTTTCGGCCCCGGCCTCTCTCGTCCGTGCGAGCGGGTGACCGAGTAGACCCAATGCCGCTGCTTACCTGAGGAAGGCCTGTCTGAGTAGCGGGTGCAGTAGACCCAGGCCGGCCACAGCATGGGCTGACCACCGGGAAATGAACTGGCCTGCGAGCTGTCCGAATCCGAGCTGAGCGACAGGTCCCCGCCGCCACCGGACTTCAAGGCTCCGACGAGGTCCCCGCAGTCGCTTCCCTTTTTGGCGGGGACCCCAGTCTTGGGACCGCCGCTGCCGCCGTCGCTTCCTTCGGGCAGGGAACCCGCGGCCGGAGCTGCCGAGGGACTCCTGGCGCCCAGTAGATGCGGTGGCTGCTGCTGCTGCTGCTGCTGCGGAGGCGGCGGTTGTTGCTGTCGCCGCCGCCGCGGCTCCGGGCTGTTGTCGCCGCTGCCGCCGCCGCTGCCGTCGTCCTTCTTGCGGCCGAACTCCGGGCGGAGGATGTTGTCGATGAAGAAGTTGGTGATGCGGTGCGGCGGGTGCGGGTGATTGCCCGGAGCCTGGAGCACGCGGGGCACAAGCAGGGCCCTCCTCCGGCTGGCCTCGCCGTCGCTGCCGCTGCTGGCCTCCTCCGGCGGCTGCGGCTCGGCACCTCCGTCGCCCAGGCGCTGCTCGTTCTCCTCCATGCCGGCCCGCGCTTGCCCGAAAGCTGCCCTCGCCTTTGGGCGACGCACCCCGCCCACGCCGACCGCCAGGCGCGCGGCGCTTCTCTCCGAGCCGGGCGGCGGGATCCAGAGGGAGAGCCGGGTCTGCGGAAGGCGGCTATCCTACGCCTGCCTCGGGCTGCGGGGTAGTTCAGACCCCGACTTGGCCGCGATCTCCTTCTTTTCTTCCTGCCTCCCGGCGCTATTAAAGGGTTCCTCCCTTCAATTCTGCAGGCCCCTCCTGCGTCCTTGGCCCAGCAACGTAGTCATCGTTAGGACTAAACATCCGCGCCCCCCCCCCAATCCCCGCCCGCCCACCCCTTGCTCCGGCTCCTGTGGGTTGATAAGAGCCCGGCGATATCCTGGCAAAAATTACGCAGCAGCAGCAGCAGCAGAGAAATCCTTCAAAGGGGGAAAAGTCAAGGCCACCCCATCGGTCTGGCTGGAGCAAACGCCTGCCTCGCTGGCTGGCTGGCTCCGCGCACGGCGAGCGCAGCCCTGAGCCCCACCAGAGGCTTCTGCACAAATCCCGCGGCTCCCCAGCTCTCCCTCCCCCCTCAGCCAAATATTCTAAGTTGCATTGGAGGACTTGGGCTGGGAAATTTCTCCCTCTCGCTCTCTCTCATTCTCTCTCTCTCTCTTTTTTTTTTTTTTTTTTCCCCTCCTCCTTCTCTCTTTCTCTCACCCCGTCTCGTTTGCCGTGGCTCTCCGGATAAGGGGTGTGAATTTAGAAGCCACTTAAACTAAACCTGAAATACTTTCACTCTGGATTTTTGTTCTTATTTTTAATAGAGCTCCACGAGTGACGTGGCCAAGCCGGTATCTTAGACACGTGCCTTGAGCCAATGGCAGAAGAAGCTCTCCCACACGTGACACAGTCGCGTTTTGGTAAATGACAGGAACAGCCCCCTCCTCCTGGCTCACGATACCCCCTCCCTCATTTTAAAGCGATAGCCTCCAACTTGCCGAGTATTTTTTTTTTTTTAAAGAAGAAATGCCGAAATAATTTAATCCTCTGAAATAAGGGACGTTCGCCCCTTGTCCTGCTGATGCACTTCCCTTCAAATCTGTGTCTGAAAAAGAGTTCTGGTACATAATAAGGATAACAAATAGAAAAAAACCGAAATTGTTTACAACTGCAATTGGAGGCGAAAGAAAGACAGAAGGGGGGGGGGGCGAATTCCCACAATTCTTTGCAAAAATAATATGAAATGAGCGAGCCCCATACAAAGAGACTTTTTGTGCTACTGATTTATAGGGACCGAGGAAAGGGAAAATAAAATAAAGAATCGAAAACAGTAATTTTAGAAGGAGAAGAAAATTATCTTTCTCTTGTCTTGCTTGATTTGGGACACTTAAAACAACCGTTGCTTTTGCAATCGCTAAGCCCAGCGTGTAATATCAGAAATTCCCGCTGTTTGTTTTTTAAAAATGTTGTTTATTATTTGCTTTTAAAACTACCCAGCCTTCTCCGGGTCTGTTATTATTAGGAACTGCAATGCCATAAACATAAGGCGATAGGATAATTGAATCATTCAACTGAAAAACGGATAGGAGCCTTTGATCTTTTATTCCAGCATCCAAAACGATATTAAACAGAGAGATTCCCGTTGACAGACAGCGGATCGTGAGAGCCCCCCCCCCGTCCCCTTCCCCCAAGCACTTTTCGCCGAAATGATACAGCGATTGTGGGTTTAAAAAAAAAAAACAGCACTGAATCTAATAGAAAATGGCATTAGAATTTTAAAATCATTCAAAACCCAAGAAATAAAAGGGATCTGAACGGTATGCTGGCCATCGTTTCGCGAAGGGATACCCAGCGTCGCACGCTGTTTGCTTGATCCTTTCTCTTCCTCCTGCTAAAGGTAGTTCTTTTCTTTCTTTCTTTTTCCTAAATCCTGAAACACCCGCCTACAGACAAAATCAAAATAAGCATCTCCTCCAGGCCTCCCTGGGCTCCTGGAATGGCTACTCTTGAAATTTGTGAAAGTCACACAAAGGTCAAGGAAGGAAGGAAGGAAGGAAGGAAGGAAGAAGGAAGGAAGGAAGGAAGGAGGGAGGGAGGGAGGGAGGGAGGGAGGAAAGGAAAGGAAGGAAGGAAGGAAGAAGGAAGGAGGAGAAGGAAGGAAGGAAGGAAGAGGGAGGGAGGAAGGAAGGAAAGAAAGAAGGAAGGGAGGGAGGAAGGAAGGAAGGAAGAAAGAAAGAAAGGAAAGGAAGAAGGAAGGAAGGATGGAAGGAAGGAAGGAAGGAGGGAAGGAAGGAGGGAGGGAAGGAAGGAAGGAAGGAAGGAAGGAAGGAAGGAAGGAAGGAAGGAAGGAAGGAAGGAAGGAAGGAAAAGTTCACTTTCCATCCAACTGTTCCTGGGGATGTTGGAAGAGAGACAATGCCACATGATTACAAAGACCAAAGACTACACCGAAGCCAAACATCACAGATCTGCAGATCGAAGGCAGCTGTTCCTCCCCTTCCAGAGCCCAGTTCTCAATTGAGGGGTGGGCCTCTCAGTGCTGGCGGCTCCCTTACCCCAGAAACCCCTTCCAACTGCCCGTTTTCGGGTGGAGAGGCAGGATGGAAAGCCTGGGAAATACCGACTAAGTGGAGTGTATCCCTACCTTCCTCCTTACACAGGTGTCTTCATCGGCATGGGTAGCAAAATTCACCTTTTGGGGGGGGCAAGTGATGAAAATACGTCTGAAATTGTTTTCACAGGAGATGAAAGCAATCCCCTACACCCCCAAGAGGAACTGAATCTCTAAATCAAGTTGACTGTTAAAAGAATCAGCAAAACTATAGGGTATTTTTTTAAAAAAACTTAATAAATATATGCATATATATTTGTTCACTGTTTTCATCCAAAATGAAAGAACAGGAAGAACCACCATTTTCCCAGGTTGTTCACGATAGTAGTTATTATTGCCACAACATTTTGCAATTATGGAGTATTATTATTATTTTTTTAGCGTAAGGACCCAACTGAGGAATATAATACCTGGAGAAAACAGTATTTAAGCAACCTAGGGCTGCTTTCTATCCAAGTATAAAAATAGATTATTTGTCCCCTCTCTGTATTTGAAGCCTAGTTCATATGGACCTGAGTCAGCCTCAAAATGGATACTTTTGAGACTGCTGGAAATAACATCTGAGGGACATCTCAGCTGCCTCTTTTGAGGCTTAGGGTAACTCAGAACTCATTCTGTCTGCGATCTTTCAGTACCGTCTTTCTGCTGTCCAAAATATTGTCCTGCTTTCTCCAACTTCATTGAGTCATGACTCTTTTTCAAATCCTATATTGTTAAAAGCGCAGGAGAGCATCCAGGAACACTGTATTCCTGGTCTAAGGCCTCTGAGCTCTTGAGGTTAATATCTCAGGGTCCCATGTAAAGTGATTACGCTGTCTCTCAAAAAGTATTTTCTAATTACTTGGAAGACCTGGCTCTGCTATACCCTGTAATTAAACGTGTCCAGGGTGTTGCGTTTCAAATATTTTGCTGCAGGGAAGATCCTAAATTATTGACTTGAGCTTAAAATATCTTGAAGTAAACATAAGCTGTGCAAGCTGTGTATCAAGTAACATTTCTTGTCACATAACGCTGACCACACGTTAACATTTCTATTTGTTAAAATTACCTTGAAGCACTGAATGCTCATTTGCAGGTTAAGAATCCAGGCAGACTTGCTAGATAAACTCTGAAATAGTTTTTTTTTTTCAAATGCTATAAGCCAAACAATAATTGAGACAGACACAGGCATGACTCAAATCCTAGTTATATTCTGTTGTCACCCCAGTAATATTCTATATAATAATAACATATAATATTTTATATGTTATAATCTGGAAAAAAGAAATAGGGGTAGATGATATGGGGATCCTGACAAATAAAATCTGAATAATTCTAAAAGCATGCCATCTATTTGTATTTGTTTAAAAAAATTAGAGCAACAGTTTTATTTCCAAATAAAGTTTGGAATCTGAAAGTACATATGTATTTATTTTAACAAGATAAAAGATATTTCTACATCTAATATGTATGCATGTATGTATGCCAAAATAATAGTTTTGATGATTAGTGCTTATTTAATCCATTCTCTCTGGACAGCAGAGAAGAAACCCTGTATGTACAAAATGCAAATAATTATATTGATTTAAATACAATTAAATATTTACTCATCCACACTTCCTGATAATTTTCTTGCATAATTGTTTTAAATGCACTGTTTCTTTTTTAAAGGCAGTTGCTTAAGCCAGTTAGATACACTGCAATGATTTAACCCAAGTGTATGTTTTATGTAGTCCTTAAGAGTTGAACTAACATTGATGGCATGTTATCCATCAAATAAACTGCTCTGACCTGATTGGAAATTAAACCACGATAAAAAATATTTGAGGTGGAAGCCAGGTCTATATGTTGAGACACAATTGGGTCCAGAAGGTATCCTTTAAGACATTCTCTTACTAATGATTTTATAATCTGCACACAATTTCATCATCAGGACCTTGAGAAGATAACTTTCTCTTTTTCTTCAAAGGCTCATATAAATGGACTTCTGAAAGTTCAGTTCTTTGCATTTCCGTCAGTGCAGCACTCCATAAAAATATTCCTGTTTCATCCTTTGAATATATTACACACATGTTCTAATGGAAACGTAGATTGACTTCACTATCTTGGTGTTTAACTATCTGGCTGTTGGAAAGAAGGCAAGTAAAAACTAATGAAAGCAATCAGATAGATTGGACTGTTGATGGGTTTGCCTACCAGAAGATAAATTTCCCTGGTTCTTATAAGTCACAGTGAGAAGTCACTAACAAAAGAAAAATAATATTAGAAGAACTAACTAAATCTGCCTGCAGGCTGATTTGTTTTGATCCAGTACTGAGTTGAAGGATAGCTCCGAAAAGTTTCAGCCAACGGAGGTGGCCAAATCCGAAATTAATGCAAATTTGCCCTTAAAAGGAATGCCTTCGTGCGATAAAAACCCTAGAAGATTGTCTGCAAGGGTTGACATTTATTATGGTTTGCAGAGTTGCAGGGAAGAATCTGTATCACAAAATTCCTGGAATTCTCTATTCTTCCTACGCTCACCATCCAGCCCAGATTTTTTTTTAAAAAAAGGTCACATCTAAGACTCGATAGGTTGGGTTTTGGAAACAGAATACTCATCTAAACCATGGTCTAACCGACTCCCGAACACTTGTAGCATAACCGATTGCCATTCGGAGATCTCTAGAGCAACAAGTTACTTCAAATAAATAAATAACTCGCCTTC